AGGTTTTCCTCTGTGCTCTGTCCCTCATTGCTGCTCTTGCTCCCTAGAACAGTACTGAAAACTTCAGTCCTTTCTTTTTTCTTTTTTTTCACTTGAGGATACAGGACTCCAACAACCTGGTCCTCAATGGATTAATCATTCTAAATGAAGTGCTGGCATCTGTATCTGCAGGCTTGCTTACATCTTCATTTCCTGAATTTTCATTTCCTCAATCCCCTTAATTTTAATTTAAAAAAATTATTAGAGTACACACATGATTTTAAAGCGCTTGTCTTGTCTTCATTAAGATTTAAATGAAGTCTGGCCTTCCTTTAGTCCCAAGGGCCATCATTTCATGTGTATGAATTTGTCTTCCCTTCACCATTTTTTAGACATACCTTGAAACTGCCTCTCTCTATGCCTCTGTTTGGTCTGGCAAACTTGTGTGAGGAGCCTTCCCCAGCACAGTGCTGCTGAATTCCTGTACTTCAGCATTCTGCCTGAGAGCATAAATGTTCTTCTAGCACCTCTCCATCCCACCCTTTGGATGACACCAGCATCTGCACAAGAAGTGACTGCCTGTGTCAGAGCCTCACCCGGTTTGCCACCTTTCTCCTGATCCCAGTATCCATCCTGGAGGCACAAACTAAGCTATCCTCGTGCTTAAAATCTGAATGACCCCTCTCTAGTCTTCTTTTAAAGAAAATTGTGGGGAACAACCTGCCCATAATAACAATATTAGTCTGAATAAAAGAGGTTCAACACAAAACCTGAAAAGTGTAGTTGAAGAACCATGACCTCACAGAAATGCAAAACCTCTTCTTTAATAGTATCAGAGAAGCAACTGTAACAATTCACACTTCCCAACATGCATCAAAATAAAGGGAGACAATCAAACACTCATTACAGGTGAATTTTGATGAGCCTTTGGGTGGGAGATGGAAAAGCTGGTGCAGGAGATGTGAGATTCCAAATTGAGAGCTGTTCAGAAATCCAGGTCCTGCTCTGGGGTGGAGGTGTAAGACCATCTCTGGAATTTGGACACAAGTTCAAATTCCAAATAATAATGTCCTGACATGATAGGTTAAGGGATTTTAGTTTAAGCCTCTTGAAAGATTAAAAGACAGTTGCTACCTTGAAAGCTGTGCCTGATCACTTTTTATGGAGCATAAAACAGATACATCCCCTAATTAGATATGTGAGTAGACACTAAATCATTATCCATCGCAGAGCAAGAACTCTCCTTCTTCCTTTGGCAGTTGGAAGACCACATGTTTCCAGATATAAAAAGGTCAAATTGTACTAGTTACTAAAATATTGAGTTAAAAGAAAGCCAAACCAAGAGATCTCTGTAACATTTCCATTCTTCCCTACTGATATTGCCCATTTTAGAATTTTGTTCAGGTGTCATTAAAGTGGCTTAAGTTTGATAGTTCATTTACATTTGCTTTTGTAATGCATTATTTGTCTCCCCTTCCTCTGCTGGCCACCTAACTTCTCTTCAAAGCTCTGTGTCTTTACTGCTGACCCATAGCAAGCAACGTAAGACAAAGGAAGATTGACACCTTGCAGAACAAAGCCCCAATGTTCAGAAATGAAAGACTGGGCTCATCCTAGCAGCAATAGCTGTTCATAGCAGTTTATGAGTGGAGAACATCAGGAGGACATCTCTCATGGAGAGGCAGTAATAGTAGCAGAGTGCTCTCCCTGCTACCTGTAGATCAGATCAGTTTTGCATTTCTATTTGCCTCTGGCATGGTGACAAATCTGAGCCTAAGCAATCCCAGATCAAACTCCTAGACAACCCAGCTAGAAACAAGTTTGTTGCCACAGAAACCATTTCTGGCAGGAGGGCTCCATGGAGAGGAGCAGAGCATACTTTCAGGTGAGCCTGTTTCTCCGTCTCCCTCTAACAGTGTTTAAAACCTATTATTTAGTCTTTCTCTCTTTTCCAGATAGATTAGCTACAGCTTCCAGATGAAGGGCCTTAAAAAGTTCTTCTTTGGCTACCCAATACATTAACAGAGTTCAGAGTGTCATTCATAGTAAAGAAAGAGTTACAGTGGCTGCATCCCTCAGAGGAAAAATTGCAATGCTGTTGTTAGCTGCTATTTCTTACTAATACCTTTAGTTAAAATTATTGGCCAGTTTCTTCCCAACATTGAAGCTGTTCTGTGTCTTTTTAAAAGCCATTGCCATCAGCTGTCAGGGTCAGCAGCTCTGCAAATGTTTCAGCTGGCAGAATAAGTCATAACAAGCATTAAAAACCACTCAGAATAAGCTTTATAGGAAAAACAAACCTCTTAGAGGAGATATTCAGCTAATTTTAAGGTAATGAACCTCACAAGGCCACCATGCCTGGAGTTCTCTTCCCACAGTTCTTCACTTAAAAATAATTAGAAGTTGTGTAAATGTCCTCATGAGCAGTCATGACTTTTTCTTTGGTTACCACCACACTGACACAAGAATAGCCTTATAAGTGAAGCACCAGGACACCATGAATGCACCCTCAGATCAGGTCTGGAAAAAACAGGCAGGGAAGAAATTTTCTTCTCTATGCACTGTTCAATGGGATGCCAGGAAAACCTGCAGTTACAGCATCAGCTGGTTAATCTGAGTGACACCATCTACAAGGCTGGTTAGGGGAGGAAAACTTACATTAATACCCCCAAGTTTGTACGTCTGGCTCTGTTCAAATGTGTTCAACCACAGGCAAGAATTTTCCTGTCTGTCTGATCTCAGCAGCCAGCCAGCCCCCAAGGCTCTCCCTATTCGATGATATCTTGTAGATGACACCTGTCTACTCTTACTTCTGCTGAGACTCATTTTCATCTCCTCTCTTCCCTTTCACAATATCTCACTTCTCTCTTTTCCCACCGCTATAGGAAACTTACAGTCCTTAGATCTCTGAACAAAGGGAGTCATTTTTGTCCACCAGCCTCAAAGTGAAATAAAAACATCTCACTGAAGATGTCGTGACACAAGTTTTTTTAATGAGATATTGGAACACCATATCTTTCTTCTCTTAAAACAGTGATATTCAAACTACAATGCTGTGATGTAGACACTGTCACCCACACTGGCTGTGACCCACTATCACAGAAGTACATTCTCATCTTATCCTAAAACCCCAGTATACTCCCCAGACTATGTAAAAGTTTGAGGGGGAGCACTTTCTCTGTTATCATCTAACCTACAGCTGTACAGCACTGAGTGTAACATAAGCTGGACAAAGTGCTCTTCTGCCTTTTCCCTCACATAACAGAAAGACCTGACAATTGCAATGTAGGAGTAGCCTGATACGAGGGAACAACGTGACAGCAATAGAGTGACAAGGCTTGTAAGAGGGCTAGAAAACATGTCATATGAGGAAGGGCTGAGGAAGTTGGGTTTGTTCAGCCTTGAGAAGAAGAGGCTCAGGGGTGACCTCAGGGCTCTCTACATCTACCTGACAGGGGTTGGAGAGAGGTGGGGGATGATCTCTCCTGCCATGGCTGCAGGGAGAGGACTAGAGGGAATGATCATAATCTGAGAGAGAGGTGATTCAGAATAGATGTTAAGAAAAAAACCTGTCCCTGTTAGGGTGTTCAGGCACTGGAATAGGTTGGCCAGGGAGGTGATGGAATCACCATCCCTGGAGGATTCAGACATCTGGATCTGATGCTGGGTGATATGGTTTAGTGATTTAGAGGTTACAGTGGTAATGCTGAGTGGATGGTTGGACTTGATGACCTTAAAGATCCCTTCCAACCTTTATGATTCTATGAATCAGATGGGGAGGCAGGAAGGATAGGGGTGAGAACAGAAAAAAATTGTTTGCTTGGAGAAGGAATGGAAGAATAGATGTTAAATACACAGGACTGACTACCTATTACTGGCTTCTTAATTAAAGCACACTTGAAAGAGGAACTGGTCAGACACTGTACTCTTTGCAGCCAGTGTGAACACAGAGGGCTAATGTGGAAAAAGTCACATTGGGTGCTGATTAACAGACTGCTGAGAGTCCTGTAATGCTCACAGTGACACTGTCACATCTTGTGAGCCTCAGTGTAGACATTTTTCCCTGCCTCACTGTTAAGTTTCCTTACATTTTTATTAATAAATATCTGCTTGTGTTCTGAACTGAAAAGGACGAGGCAAGCTGTTATATTCTTCTAAAATCTCTATTTCTCAGCTCCCTCCCCATGCAACATACAAAGCTGATTGCTGTGAATTATTTTGTTCTTTACAAAGACTGACAAGAACCAGAAAAATGTTCTCACAACACAGGAAACCTACAATAATGAACCGGTTTTTTAATCCTATTGAAGAAAAAAAAGAGAGAGATTAATTTCTGACCTGCTGGATTTCACTTCATTAAACAAACCGTCATGTTTCAAGTTGTCCAAGTCAGGTTTGGAACAGCAGCAAGAAAAGTGGCTAAGAGTTTGTAAAATATAGTGATATTTTGAGAACCAAAGACAAAACTATAGAAAGCACAGAGCACTCACACACCAAGGTAAGTAGTTTAGCAGTTTCAAGGTGTAACGTTTGGCTTGTGTTCTCAGGGGAAATGAAGTATTTAAATCACTTATTAGTTCTTCAAAATAGCTTATATCTAGTCAACCTATACACTAATACTAAGTCATCTGAAAACGGCTAATTGAATTTGTCTACTGCTCTGGTTCCTTGCTGCAAACACAAAACAGTTTATCAGTTGATCTTAACAATTTCCTTTTATCAATACAACTTCAACATTAAACTCTCCTTGTGCCTAAGTGGAACTCAAGAAAGTTTTTCTGGAAGAACATTCATTTGAAGCTCCTACTAGTGGGAACTTTGCCATGGAAATTAATTTTGAAGTTGTGAATTTTTTTGGATACATTGCTTTGGTTGAGTCCTTGGAGCACCTTGTTTTGCTTAAACAACCCAGCCAAAAAACTGTCCTACCACCTCTCTGGGGGTCATTAACTTGTATGACCTGGCTCAAGGATGGAAATTTAACTTGCTTTTAAGAACAAATAGATAAAAATGAAACTCACCTGTCAGTAGGGTTTATGCAAAGAGGTTTTGCCTGCAGTGTGATGAGTGCAAAACTTCCCTTCTCCCAGCTCCTGCTCAGTCTGGTGGTGAGGCTGTCCTCCTCCCAGCTGTGAGCAAGCCTGTCTGTGAAACAGCACAGGAAAAGAGGAGGAGATTGTTTCAGCTCCTGTGCTCTTTATGGTTCAACTGTGAAGGAGTCAGCCCAGCCCAGCCCTCTCCTCCCTCACCCACTCATTCATAAATGAAATAGATGAGAGTGCCAAGAGCAGGCACTAAACACAGAGATTGCAATGCACACAGTTGTGTTCACAGCTGTACCCACTGACACAGACACTCAACCAGCAGACAACAGCACTGTGATCTCAGCAGCTGGGGCAAAGCCCACAACTGCTGCTTGCAGCTTATCTAAACACAGATGTTGCCTGATGCAGGCTATTACAAAGTATACAGAGCATTAGTGTTGTTATTAGTATCATTTAGAATAAGTTGTTTATAAAGCTTGTTGAGCTCAGACCTTTATCATAGCCAAACACAGCAGAAGGTGATCTCTGCACAAGGAATTGTCTTCTCTGAGTGTAAAAGAGCAAGGAGTAGGGGGGATGACAATGATACAGTTCCTTCCTCTCCTGTCTACACAGCCAGACTGAGGCATAGACAGATCAAAGGGCTTGTCCACGGTCATTCAGGAAGGCTGTAGCAGATGAAAAAGCTGACCTCCTGCTAACTCACACCACTCTTCTGTTCCCTCAGGAGTGAAAGCTGTGCCACTGAACAGGTATTAAATTGTCACTCAGACTGGAACACACTACTCTTAAAAAACACAGATATGTATGACACCACTGAAACTGGAAACAAAAGCTGCTACCAGTTCAGCTCTAAACTGGCATGCAACTCACCTGATGTAGAGTTCTGCTGTGCTGCTGTAGGGACACCAGTGGCACTGCATGCTCAGGACACTGTAACTGTTCAGCTCTAAACTGGCATGCAACTCACCTGATGTAGAGTTCTGCTGTGCTGCTGTAGGGACACCAGTGGCACTGCATGCTCAGCACACTGTAACCAGGGTTCCCTTCTGCTCACTGCTACAGGTGACAGTGCTGCAAGGACAGTCAGGGACAGTGAGCCTGGGAAAAGGAATCCTGTGCAGGGAACTCCCAGACAGCTTCTCCCTCTCCAGCCTGGTGGAAAGCAGAGTGACTTAAGCACTGAAACAAAACAAAAAAATAAATAAACCAAAACAGGGAGGGGATACAAGAACATTTACAAAACTTGGAAATACTCCAGGAGTGTCCATGGCTAACATCAGAACCAGCATCAAAAATAACTCCTCATTCCAAACACGGGCAAAGGGCTGTTCAGGTGTGACAGGCTACCAGATGGCAGAGCCCTTCCCCTGCCAGGGCCTCTGCCAGATCAGAGATCAGAAATCATCTGCAGGGTTAAGGAAGCTTCCTGAGTTTCTGAGGAGAGATGCAGCAGAAAAAATAGGAAATTCTTGAACGTGGCCAGACAAAGCTGCAGCAAGCACAGAACAGTCCTTTGCAGGCTCACTGTGCTGCTCAGAGGGTGTCAGAGATGTAGACAGCACACCTGGCTGAACAGCAAGGCAGAGGCAACTGGAAGCACAGCCAGAGGCTGAACACCCTGTGCAATATTAAAGAATATTAATGGCTGGTGTCAAATTTTTCAGGACTACTTGGAATACTCCCTCCTCTGATTTTTTTTTTTTGCCATTTTGTTTGTTTGTTTGGGCTGGGTTTTTTAAATTTTGTACTAATTTAGTCCTGATTCTTTATTTTTATATACATATATAAGAATATATACAATAAGAAAATCACAGTCTAGGATCTTTCAGGATCCTAGTAAAACATTTGTCCCAGTGCCTTTCAATGCATTGTTATGTACACTTGGATATTGCAATTCTTTTATTCAAGAATTTGCAAAAGATGATGTTAAGAAAACGAAGTGCAGTTACTTCCTTAGTAATATCTGTGCTACTCTTCAGTAAAAAGCAACAGGGCATTACACTGGTCTATTTGCCTTCCCCAAGAGCCTGCCAGGGGCAGAGATCACTGTGGTATCCAGTTCTCATTGGTGGCTGCAGGAACAGCATTTCACCTCCTGCAGGGCCCAAGCTGCAGATGGGGAAACAAGCCCTGAGAAAACCTACAGATGGTGATTACCCTTTTGGGTGCCAGGGGAAGCAGAGACACTGGTGGCATTAACATCACTTTAAAAAGGACATTGAGGCACTGGAGTGAGTCTAGCAAAGGGCAATGAGGCTCATAAAAGGCCTAGAAAACGTGTTGTATGAGGAAGGACTGAGAGAATTGGGTTTGTTTAGCTCAGGGGTGACCTCATCACTCTCCACAACTTCCTGAAAGGGGATTGTAGAGAGGTCTCCCCTGCCATGGCTGCAGTGAGAGGACTAGAGGGAACAGCCACAAGCTGAGACAGGGGAGATTCAGATTAGATGCTAGGAAAATTTTTTTCCCTGTTAGAGTGTTCAGGCACTGGAATAGGTTAACCAGGGAGGTGGTGGAGTCACCATCCCTGGAAGTGTTTAAGGGATGTCTGGATCTGGCACTGGAGGATATGGTTTAGGAGTTACAGCAGTGGCAGGTTAATGGTTGGACTTGATGATCTGAGAGGTCTCCTCCAACCTTGATGATTCTATGATGATTGGCAGTATCTCTTTCTTAGCTCTCACCTTATCTGTAATTGTCTTGGCATGCTGAACTGCAAACATGCTCAAAGATGTGTTAGACAGATGTTGGATACAGCTGGCCAGAATATTCAGAAAGCAGAGACATTGGTCATCAGACAATATAGGCCTATCAGAGTATGCGAAAAAAAACAGCACTTGACCAGCACAGCTTGTAAATCAGGCCTTGAAAACGGAGCAGTTACTTCTACAAACTGCCCTCTCAAAAAACTACAGAGCAAAAGAAACTCCAGGAAAATCCTGGGTTTATATTTTTATTCAGACATTCTATTTTGCTTGCTCAGCATGCAGATGCTGGTGGCATTAGCCACCTGCCCTCATCACTTCCAAGGGGGCAGAACCATCTGCTGCCACCTCTATCACACTCACTCAGCAATTGCATGTTGGGCCATATTTAAAACTCTAACAATGAAAATAAATAAGATTTTCTTGTAGCCTTTTATCTCCATGAATTATACAGTAGTTATTAAAGCTGACAAATAGCTATTACTCGGTGAAAGTGGCAATTCTTGCTTTTCACTCACTTCAGTCAAATAATTTTAATGTGTGATGATTAAGTAGCTCTACTGAATTGAATTGCTCCTGGCTTGCATGTGTCAAAACCAGAAGCAGCAAGCTTCAAAAAGAATGGAGCTAAACTGGTGCTGTAAATGTCACAGATGCCACAGAAATGTAGCAGAAGGAGGTCATCTCAACCATCTCCTTATTCATTGAGGACTATCTCACTCCAGATCTTTAGCCTCTCTTCAACAGCCTTTAAGGAAGATTCTGCCCCTCCTCTGGCTATGTCTCCATCTGTTCCTAAAATGCTTGCACTAATATAAAAATCTTCCATGTTGCAAATTCATTCATCTTTTTCTTGCCCTTCTGTGAATATACATGAAAAACAGGCTATTTCTACCATTCTCAGTGTTGATCATTTGAATGTCTGAGGATTAATAATGCTGTCCCTCAGACTTCTGTGGACTAAATAACTCCATTTTTCTAGTTTTCCTTGTAGATTGTGTTTTCCAGACCTGTGCTCACTCACATTGGTCTCATTTCCAATCATCAGCATCCCTCTCTAAGCATATTCCAGTACAGGCCCTTTGTGGCAGTGTTGGTCCTGTTTGATTCCAAGTACCTGCTCTATGCTTTGTCTGTGAAGATCAGCTTTCCTATGAAGTTTGACTTAAAGCCTTTCAAGCACCAGTTTTGGTGAGGACAGAAGGAAAATAAATGTCTTATCTCTTTTGCAGTGACAAGCCATATGGACATTCCCATTTTGTGTACCTGAGACACAAGGACTTGCTACTCTACTTGCTCTTTATTGTATCACCACTCTAGAGCCCCTGCCAGTCCTGCTGTTACATTGCCCCGAGAGGAGGTTATGCTACACAAGGCTTCACTTGTTCACAAATTTCACTGCAGCCAGGCATCTTGCTTTGTCTATCTGTTCTCCTTCTCTTTTCTTTTACTTCTGTATTTGTCCCAGTCTGCACTGCACCATGTTATTTTTAATCTTTTCCACAGGTTGGAAGGGCAAGAGGTTGTTGCAGAGCACATGAGCAGTCCTCAGATCTGCACACCAGGTGCTTTGGGAAGATGTATAGATCAATGTCCTAGAATTTATGCTCAGAATGTGCTCCAAGCAGTGAGCTTGGCTTCAAGAGTTCCCAATGGAAAATGCCATTGTCTAACACACATCTCACAAATTAGCTCAATCACCCAGGTCACCTTTCTACCTCCAGAAGAAACATCAGGTGTCTGCCCTTGCCAATGTGCTGGCAGGTTAGATATTATCTCCTCTTTCCTGGCACCTGTCCTCATGGGATTTCCCAGATTCTCTCGGAGCCTGCAGGATTCCTACTCCCCCAGACTCAGCACAAGACATACCGATCAGCTCTGTGTTCTAAGCCAACAAAAAAGCACCAAGTTTGTATCCCTAAGAAAGAAAAGGCAAGAGCCAAAGTACCTGGTCCTTTCCTTTGCCTATAAAAAGGGAGAAAGGTCTCACTCTTCCAGTAAGACTGAAGTGATATGAACATTACTCAGCTCTCCAGGAGCTCTGCCTGTTTTTGTTCACAATACTGAACAAAGCAAAGACACAGAGGAAGTTGAGAATGTAGAAAGTTCTGTGCAGATACTATCAGAATGAATAAAAAGTGTTGTCAAAATCTAGGAGGCAAGGGCAGTGACATTATTTGTAGTCACCACAGCAACTCCAGAGCTGAGGCCAGAATATCTCTGTTTTCGCTATCTACAGAACAGACTGAATTAATTCTTTCCCCAGCTATTATGCCACTAAAGAGACACAGGCTTTGATGTGTGGCCTTACAACTACTGGCTGTGTGAAGGACCCATGGATGACTGTGGGTGTTTTG